TTGTGGGCCAGACCCCCCCCACGAGCCATATTTTGCCCACCACTGTTCTAGCAGGTGTTAGGCCCTGATCCAGTGCCCATTGAAATCAGCTGAAAGATTACCATTGACTTGAATGGGCTTTTAGATTTGTCTTTGGATCCCAATTCAGGAAGCCATCCCTATTCATAGAAAGTACTTCAGTGTATTCTTATCCAGACTTTGATGAAACGTTATGACTAGCTTTGCTTCCAACATTTGTAAAGATCACCTGAATCCAGAAACATAAAAAACATTTTAGCAGCTTTAAAATGTTTTTTTAAAATGTTTACCTCACTCCTACCTTGGGTAAATTCAAAAAGAGGTTGGACGAACACCTGTCTGGGGTCGTGTGATCCCAGCGTGTGCTCCTGCCAGTGGTGGGGGGTCAGACTAGATAATCTGTGCAAGTCCCTTCTGACCCCCAAACTACTATGAAAATATGAAATGATGTGTCAAGACTCTTTGGGTGCATCTACATATCACCCTGTGGTGTACTATGGCAATGAAGTGACCACATGTGTCTACACATGATTGCTAGCTACGTTGCTGTAGCGGTGCGCTCCCCAGGTATAGTGCACTGCTACGATGACGCAGTGGCAAAATTTACCCATGCGCTGTGTGCATGGCTCAATAACCACCCGTACTGCGCTATTCTTTAGTACCTTCAAAAAGAAGTACTAAAGCATGGCACAGTAACAGCATCACCATACGGCGATGTGTAAACACACCTTTTTTGCCTTAACTTAAATGTAAATATTTAAAAAATCAGTCAGGCATGTTGTTTGCTTATATTTGCAAAAAGTGCTTTGGAAATTACCTACAGAGTAACAGAGGAACCACCCTCAGTTCTACACTTTGGTGGTAATTATTTACATCCATGACAAAATATGAGTTCATAGATGCTTGTTGACAGATCTGATAGCTTTTTTGCATGGTGATAAATATGATACCCTTTCTTCAGTCTTACGCACATGTTTAACTTGAAGTTTCTAAAGGCAGATAACATAGGAAACTTTGAAAACACCTATTATACCTGTTTTTTTTCTTCCTATTGCAGGACCTTGATCAAGCTAAAACTTTTAATAAGTCTGTGGAAAATTTGTTTCTCTCTCTTGCTACACACATTAGAAGTAAGTGCCCTTTAGTGCTTTGTCATTTTAAAGCAAAGTGGTCAAGCATTTCAATTTCTGAATCATGCAGTAAGGGGTCTGTGTAGTGACGGACATTGAGAACAGTCACAAAGCACAGCTAGTCTTCCATCAGTGTTTCAACTTATTCTTTTGTCAAGCAGAAAAACAGATGATGCCAGCCAAGACATCTCTTCTTTCCTTTTAAGTAACAAAAAGACTTTTTAAAGTCACTTTAAAAAACATAACATAAATGCAGCAGTTGTTTAGATAAGAAAAGGTGGGGAAACTGAAAGTACTGCAGTGAAATCATTAATGGGGTGTGCAATATGCCTTTGTTTGGTTGCGTTATCTATCTCACCTACCCTCAGTAAATCTGTACCAGACTACCTTACTCTCCTTACTGAAAGAGGGGAGGAGCTAAAGCAAGACTAACACAGGAGCGTAAATGCTTAAAATGGATCTTGGATAGAAATCAGGTGCCGAAGTCCAAGAAAGCAATTTATAGAAACCCCTCCTAACCTGGTTAGATGCAAGAGACCCTTTAGGGGCCAAAGTCTTTTGCAGAAAAACTATGTACTAGTAGATATCTGAGGCCCAAGTAGATGTTAAAACAATGGTGCAGCTGGGATCTAAGGAATTTTCTGCCCCATCCCAAACATTGCACCTCCTGCCATGATAAATATGTATGGAAGGATGTGTGATGTTTGAGATAAGGCAGAAAATTCCTCTGATCCCAGCCATGTCACTGCAGAGCTGCCCCAACCTGATCCTACAGATCAGGCAGGGAGCGGCTGTCTCCCAGTCCAGGGCTACTGCCAGACCCCAATAGATTCCAGACTTGGACTGTCTGGGACTAGTCTGACAATTGGCTGATTGTTGGCCCAGCCACATGACAGCCCAGCTGCATGTGTGGTGTTTAGTATTCCTGGGACACCAGGACTCCAAGATCAGGGAGGCTGTCCCTATTCAGGGGCTCCATACCTTAGCCTAACTGTGCTTTTAAAAATCCTGTCTCCCTGCAGCCCCTTGTTTTAAATTGGGGGTTTACAGGGCAAGGCAGAAAAGGTTGCCAGGTTTGTGGCAAGGGGAGCCCTTCAGTTCTCCCCATTGGGAACATCTTTGTGGCTGGTTTGCCAGTTTATGGCATCATAAAGTGGCTGAATATATAGCTCTGTTACAATTTATGGTGTGATGAATACATTAATTGCACCACAATTGTAATGTGTGCCAGGGGCCTAATGTTCAGGTGCTACATATGCACAGAGGTGACACCTTTTTAATGGAGGTGAAGCTGTTTTGGATTCTCACTTAATGTACACTGAAAGCATTCAGTACAACTCTCATGGTAACCTTCATTGAGAAGGTGGCAGGGAATTCGGTGGTAGTGGTGATGTTTTGTATAATAGCCTAATGTTTTAAGCAGCTGCCCAACAAGTGGGAGACCTGAGTTTTAAGCCATCGTCAGCCTGTAGGGGTTCAAATTCACATCTGCTGTCTCCAAAGGAAGTGTGCTAACCACCAAGCTGGGGGCTTGGCTGGCCTGAGCATACTCCCCATGGCTCCTATTGACACGGACCCATTGTGCACAAAGAAATGTAAGTCATGGGGCCACAGAGAAAACAAGTAAGAGGTAGCCTGACTCAGGAGCCTAGTGATGAGGGCACTCACCTTGGTGGGGAAGGAGTCCTGGATTCTAGTCCTTGCTCCCTACACCAATTGTGTTTTTTTAATTTTTTTAATCCAGTGACCCTTAAAGCCAATTATAGGGAACTTAGGCTCCTACCTCATGTTTGTGAACTCAAAGGCCTGAGCTCTCAGCGTGCCTAAACATATTTGTTTGATTTTCACCCATTAAAGGTTTCATTTTCTGTCTGATCAGATTTTTAAAACTCTCTCTCCTCTTTCCCCTTCTTTTGAGCTCTCTGTGAGTGTATCTTTGTAAAACCATTTCTTCTTCTTTTAGTCTGCATAATCTTTCTCGTCCTCATTCCCCTTTCACTTTTACTCACTTATGTTACCTCCAGTTCTTCAGTAGATTGAGAAGGCAAATTTTGATATGTATAATGCCATATGTCTCCTATTTAATATACTAGAAACAGCCTGCACCTGCTGGAGTAAATGATTTATCCATATGTGCATAACCAAAGGTAGTGGTGGGCCTGTCTACACCACAGGGTGTGCTATAGCATGGAAGTGTGCAAGTGAGCTTTAAACCAGCCAGTTTACATATTGGAAGCAGTCTAGATACAGCAGCACTGAACAGCATATGGAATAATTTACCAGTAGCATAACTAAGGTGACCTGGGCAGCAGCTGACTTAGAGGGACGGCGGAAAAATAACAGCTGCTTCATATGCACAGGCTGACTTATTTTGCCTGTGTAATTCACTCTGCTTTTCCATAGTTCTAAGTGTAGATAGATTGCAAGACTGAATCTGGGACTTTCAATGACAAAATACAAGCTTTGGCCATTTGAGTTAGGACCAGAATCTCTTTAGCCATAAAAAAGTGTAGGCTGTTGCTTCTTGTTTTAATCAGGGCAAAAACATGGGGGACAGGAGACAGAGAAAGTTGTGTTTCCTGGCAGAAAGGGATTGAGTTATGTCCTCAAGTCCAAATCTGATACTAAACCTTCAGGTTAGACCCTCTGTCACTCCAGACCCTTTATAAATGCACATTTAAAAAATCCACTTGCACTTAGGACTGAGACTGTGAATGTATCTCCTGACATGTTTATTGTATAAACTAAGTACAATAAACACATGAGGACTGATTGACTTGCTTTTTGTTCCTAGTAGCACAGTGGCTTTAAAAGTTGTACATGCTGGAGTCCCATTGTTTCTGACTAGCAAAACACTCAGGTCTTCTGAGTGAGGTTCCCTCAACAGCAGTCAATGTCACTATAAGAAAAAAGGTATAATTCTCCACTATGAATTATATATGGCTATTGGTATTTTATGCACTGCTTGTACTGCAACATTATTAATTCTTCATAAGAATCTGCTTATTGTTTGCAGCACAGAAGGTATCTTTTGCTGAGATTTCCAGTTTCCAGTTCTAACAAGCACAGAGGAGCTCACTCCTCCAAAATAATGGGGCCCCTGATTTGCATTCTGAGGTGAAAGATGTGGAAAACCATTACATTTAAAGTTTTGAGTGTGCTGGCAGATATGTTTGGCCAGTGATATGAAGCCATAAAGATGCAATCCATTACCATGTCTTGCTGCATTGACTATAATACTGTCCAAATCTCTTGAGAAAAGAGTTTTTCTTTCTACTGAGGTCCTGATTCAGCAAAGTAGTTAAGTATAACAATAAGTACATGGGTAATCCTACTTGAGGTAATTGGGCTGCTTATATTTTAAAGTCATGCCTATGACTTAAAATGCCTGGCTTGAAGCTTGGGTATACAATGTTTCTGACTTCTTCCATATTTCAGATCTGTTTTGATAGTCTCCACCTTCCTAACTTTCACTATGGCACTCCTGTAAATTATTATAATGATCTTGCATTTATGTAATATCTTTTATCTCAAAGAAACCCAAAGCGCTTTGGAAATCAGTATGTAAGCTATGCACATGAATCATTGTTTTATCCTCCTCTGAATTTCAGCCACTTTTGTGAGAAACTTTATTTAGTAGCCTGAAATAACTCTATACAGAAGCTGAAGACAGGAAGTGAAGAATATGTTTTCCAGTTGAAACTGCAGGGTGGATTTAAATTGGCTGAATGTAATTACAGAAAATGGGACAGGTGTTTATTTTCCTATCCATTTCTTCCTCTCAGGAAAGCAATAGTAGATGTATAGTTTAAAAGATCTGAAAAGCATAGGATTAGCCTCCAAAATCTCCTAGCCACGCTGACACTCTGTAACATTTCTCTCTCTGTTGTCTTCATTTAAGAAGTCTCAAAGTCCCACGATGATGTGACAGCTGACAAGAGTCTCCTAACTACAGATTATGGCCAGGATGTGAATTGGAGGAGGGAAAGGAGGAGCCAGTCTGACACAGCCATCAACATTGCAAGCAGGGTATGTGAATCAATAATATACTTGACCCTTACAATTTTAAGGGCTGTTTTCTAAATAGAATATGATTAGGGGATGGAAGGTTGTCATGACATGGTTTTGGCTTTATTAAAGCTAAAGTTACTTCGAGATGGCCACTAAAATCATTCCTGCTTGTGACTTAATTTTTCTTTTTGGCTGGAATTCACCAGGCTTGGTAGCGAGTGCTGTGCAATTACTTTGCCCCATGCTGTGCCAGCCATCAGTTTGCTCTGATTGTGCTTTCAGTCTGCTCCTGGCTCTGCTTCAGTCTTTAGGCTAGGGACAAAAATTACACTGGTATAAGTGATTGGAACCTGGTTCAAATCTGCAACAAGATGAAAGCTCTGTGCACATAAACTACTTTCAAAGTGACTGAAACTGGTTTAAGATAAACTTGTAGATGTAGTATCTGACTTAATTGATTTATGTTAAATCAGTTTATTGAATGTTTGTTCCAGATTCTCTTCAGATTCAAGTTAACTTTCAGTCCCCCAGCATCCCAGGATGCTTTGCACCTCCCCCACAACCCTGCCCCCCTTTTAAAGGTGGTTGGGTTAGCCTTGGCCCAAGCTGTCTGCTCCAGGTGAGCATGGAGGTATGCTCTAGTGCCCCTGGCTTCTGGCCTGGGCCCCTGCAGGCATGTGGCTGCATTTCTGGAATCAAAAATGAATGTCTGTTCAGTCGCTTGTTGGTTCAATCGATGCAGTTTAAACTAACCTGTGAAGATTGATTAATTCAGCCTTGAGCTTTTTGATTGCCTGTATTTAGTCCTAATGATACAAAGCGGGGGACCAGAGCAGAGCTGCTGGTTCTGTTGGGGCATCTTGTGTAATTTGCTAATCAATCAAGGGGAGCTGTTGGCTCTTGCATGAACTCTTGGACAGGAAAGTGAAAGAAAGTTTTCTGCCCTTCTCCCCTTTTTGGTCACTAACTGTTAGTATCTTTGAGATGGGTAGTTAGCCATGTTAGCTGCAAGTTTGGCAGAAGACAGTGCAGTGTGAAACCTTGTAAACTAACTTGTTCAGAGAGGCCTTGCTTTCCATAGACTTACTCCCCAGTTTGTCAGATTTTACAAAGCCTATTCACGTCTGATAAAGTAGGCTGTAGCCCATGAAAGCTCATGCCTTTCCAAACAAGTTGATTTATAAGGTACCACACTGCCTTGTCTCTGTTGGTGTCTTTGAAATGGTGAACAAAATACGTGTTCACTCTTTTTATTGTGTGGGGATGGAAATATGAAGCTGCTGTAGAACAGTGAACTGTTGCCTTATACGCACTTTACTCCCAAATAGTTGAACTTTATACACTGAAAATTTCCAGGTGGTGAGCCCTCCATTGAGTTGCCACAGCTACTTAAGCAAATAGATTTCACATACTAAGTTGTTATGATAGGCTTTTATGTAAGTGCTCTAGCTTTAGGGCAATTCTCACAATAGGAATCAGGAAGGAAATTTCCTCTTTCCTCCCTCCCTCCTTTCAGTATAACCTTGCACGGTCACCTTGCTGCTTTCGTGTTCCTCTAAAACTTCCAATACTGGTTGGGTTCAGAGTCAGAATGCAAGACTCAGTGGACTGATGATTTGACTTGGTGTGACAAATCCTATTATACTTGTGTAAATGAAGCAAAATTGCTCTGTTTTTTTTTTAATTGGATGAATTGAAACAGTGTTACAAATATTATTCAAAGCAGAAAGACTGACCCTGTCAGTGTGGTAGGGTTTTGTTTTTCATTGTACGAGACTAGAACATACATATGCTTCCCCTGAAAGAGCATTGCCATGTTTCATTGCACTGAGAAGCAGCATGGGTGGAATTAGTGGGTTAATTGTCTGCATACCATAGCTGTGTTTCCGTTGCATACTAAACACACACCCTGTTATGTTTTAAGGGTGAATGAGGATTCTGTAATTTGCCAAGCATATCAATGGTAGATCTCAAACTATAGGCCTGCAATTTTTAATGACTTTAAGGCCCTAAAATATTCAAGCATTTAAGGTACACCAGCACTTTATATTGAGAGAGAGAGAAGGGTAACACGTTTCTTGATTGTGCGGTAAGGGCTTTGCTTCTGCAAACCAAGAGTCTCTTGTTTCCCTCAGACTGTAAACCTTGAACATCTGCTGGAGTTAGGGCTGATTTGGGTGAAGTTTTACTGCAGTTTTGGTTGATCTTTCTTTTTTTTCCTTATGTGGGTATCATTGTTATCTAGGTTCTCTGGTGCTGGGGAAATTTGCACTGACATCTTTCTCCCCATCTTCTGGCTTTTTTTACTCATGCAGCAATTCCTAAATGTATTCTTTAGCTATTACTCTTCTCATTTTTTTCCTGCATTTTCTTTCATTCTGATTTTTGTAAATCTTTTTTTCTAGTGGACATATCTATCATATCTCACACTTTGCTGTGTAGTTGGTTCATTCATTTTTATCAAACACCTGATCTGCTAGTTCCTGTATGATTTGCTATCTTCCTTTTATCAGTGCAAACAAGGTTGCCACCTTTCTGTTATTCAGATCTCATTCTTTGTATTCCTTCTTCCAGAAGTCTTAAAGTGATCTCAAACTATAGTTCTATTCTGAAGATTGACAGTGTCAAAATGACATTTTCTTAATTTAACATGCCTGATTTTTGTGCTTCTTGAGATATAGTTATTTGCTTTGACTATACATGTACATATACATTACTGTTTTCTACTCCTGTTAGATTTGTAGAGTGAGCACAATGCAGATGGAGTGAGGTAATATCTTTATTAATTCATGCCTCAACAGTAGAATTACTGATGGCGTTCCAGTGGGTGGGCCAAATTCTGTCCTTAGTTACACCTGAAAACCCCCTTAAAAATAACTTGCTCAAATTAGTTGGGGGTAGAATATATCCCACAAATCTCTTGCTTGTCAGGATGCATAAGTCTTAAAGAACCCACTTTCATTTTTAGATCTGAGGCTGCAGGAGTGATGTTGGAGGGGTGGAAGTCTTTTTTTTGGGACATGAGCAAAACCTGGATACAATTGAGAAGCAATAAATATCGAATCCTCTGATGCCGATCTTAGCTTTGTCTTTCAAAGTAGGACTTCACAGTAGCATAACTAGGGCAGGGCGACTGCAGCAGCTGCCCCGGGCACTGACTTAGGGGGCAGAAAAATATCAGTTGCTGCCATAGTTGCACAATCATGCTGGCAGGACAGGGGCAGCCAGGAGTTGCCACTGCCCCCATGCATCCTGTTGCCTCTGGTGCCTGGTTACTTTCTTACACCTTTGGAGCTTTAGTCCCAAGGGTAAGATCCATCTCTCTCAAGTGAACTTCACTGTTTGTGCTACCATCTGGCAAGCTTGACCATATGGGTTAAAGTGGGGTGGAGGGGTGAGAGGGGAGAGCATATTTAACTGAGAAAAGACTGAAAATGTTCTGATGGTAACAGCTGGTCAATGCAAAATCTGACTTCATGAGGTAAGATTTAGAACATGCCATTTTAGCGCCTCTCGGGCCAGAATATCATAGTACTTTAAAAACATTAAACAAGCTCTGCAACATCCCAAGGAAAAGGAGAATTGTTTTTATTCTTATTACATGGATGGAGAAACCCCGAAACAAGGCTCAAAGAGGCTTACACAATATGTTAACAGCAGTCAGGTACCCAGTATCACCAACCCCACTGTGTCAAAAATCATGAGACAAACTCTTAAAAATCAAGAGATCTGGAATGTAAATCATGAGAGGCTGTTTTTGAAGTGTGTGTTTGGGGGGTTATATGTGAAGGTGTGGGGGCTGTGTGTGTGTGGGGCTTGGAGCCTGGGGAGGGGGAGTCCCCACACACCTGGGCAAAATATGGGGTACTGTGGGTCAGGAGTGAGGGGCAGCAGCAGGGCTGGGGGGACTGTGGCTTGGGCATGAGGGACAGACACACCAACACACAGACACATGCACACAGACAGACAGCTGCCCATGGCTCTGTTGCATGACTTGCCCTGGCCCCAGGGCCCCGCTCAGCCCAGCTGCTGCCCCTCTCTCTCCCTCCCTCACCATAGAGGCCTCGATCTGTGCCTCCTGCCCCCTCTCTCTCTTCCTGCCCCTTCTCCTCCACAGACTTACCAGTCTGGCACTCTCTACACGCACCAGAAGAAAAATTCCTGAGATTTGATCTCTCTATCAGGCAATCACGAGTCAGAGTTAATTTGACGTGGAAATCAGGAGTCTCATGATTTTCATGAGAGTTGGTATTACTGAATACCACCCTCTTAGTGGACACAGGCACAGATATTAAGAACAGGCTAAATAGGGGTCTAATTTATGCAGGAGGTTAGATCAAATGACAAGATATGGCACTGGTATTTACTGTACCTCATGACATCTAACATCTTTAGGGTTTTTGCTTTATATTTAGCAAAGTAGTCAATACAGTTACTCTTTTTTTTTTGTGGCTCCAAAGCACTAGCTAAAGTGTATGGTCAAGCAGATTGTGTTAGGTAGGAGAAGAACTGTTGACAGTATCGGGTAATTCTTTAATGAAACCCTGCTAATTTACAAAGAGTGCATGAAGTCCTGTTTTCCTGACCACAGGCGATGGTTTCTTTTAACACATTTCCATGCCCATTTATAGCCAGCACTTGGACAAAGGCTCTCTTTCTGGGCTTTTCTCAGGGCTGTGTTCCCAAAGCAAATTCTGGAACTATCCTTAACTGTTTCTTGGATTTATTAGAAATGAAGGGCAGCTGCTACACCCACCAGTGTGAATTAAATTTAATCCAGCTCATGAGAGGAATAGTTTGGCTGTTCCTCAAGCTGTTGTTCAGATTGAAGTCTTTTTTCAAAATAATTGTACCTTTTCATCTTATCTGATGTCTATGTTCTTAGTTCTTCTCCCTTCTGGTGCATGGGTACAACTGGCAAAAGTACATTAGCTGATTTTGGCGGCTATTGCAGGTCATATATTTGCTAGTCTTGAGGTGTGAAATCCACCCATTCTCTTTCTCTTTAATGCAAATATCTGTTAAAAGTGACCTTCTCCTTCTTTCCCACTGCTATCAGTTTTTATTCTATGACCGTAGGAGCATGTATTTCATATATTGTACTACCTCACTTCTCATGCGCAACACACCTTTTCCCCACAGATCACCCCCACAAATTGGAACATGTGTTAAGTGGGGAAGCTTTTTTGGGTGTTTTATTTTTTGTGCTTCTTTCCCCCTCCTACCTGGGATAGAAGCACCCAGTACAGCAGCTATGGAATTACTACTGTGGAAAAACAACCAAACAAACAAAAAAAATGCATGTACGTTTGTTACTACATCTCTTACAGATTCAAAATGCACCCAGCCTGCAGCAGCTCATCATTGGCACAAAAGACAACAATGCAGTCTTTACCAAAAAGGGTTGCAGGCCAGGAGAAGACCTTCCTTCTAGTCCCCTGAGTGATGTCGTCTTCTGTGGTGGTGTAAAACATGTAAGTATTGACATAAAGCAGGGAGGGATGTCAAACTTACCAGTAGCACCGCCCCCCCATGTCCCCCCGGCTGGATCCAGACCATGGGGCTTCTTATGGGCTGAATCTGAAATGCAGGGAGCCTCCCAGGCTGGATCCAGACCTGGCAGTGGCTCCACCACTGGGAATTTGCCAGCAGATCCTGACTCCACTTGCCCTGCTCCCGAATTTCTGGCCCTCTGAGCCCTGCAGGCTGGGTAAAATGGCTCCTTGGGCTGGGTCTGGCCTGCAGGCTGTATGTTTGACTGCCCTGGCAGTGGGTGCCCTATCCGATGTTAGTCATGGATATTGTTGCTGATAGTTTTGGGTGTCCTTTGCAAAATGTATGCACCTCCTGGGTGAAATTGGATTCCAGTAAAGCATAAATGGAGTTACCATGTCTCAATAGCTGTATTGGAGTGTTTCCAAACATGCATAGTAGAACAAGCTTAGACATGTAGGACAAGAAATGGAGGCACATGGGGAATGTAGGGGTCTTAGTGGAATTCAGGCTGTTACGTAAAGAGAAAGCAAAAATATGTTTAACCACTTAGACCCCTGAAAACTGTATATGGCACTCAGGCCTCTGAGCAGTGAGGCAGGATTTGGCCTATAGCATCTAGGTATTTCACACTTGGTGTTAAGAAGGAAGTGGAATAATACAGTTTTTTGGAGCCATGCCAACCCAAACCAGCCTCCTGCTGGTTGCTTAATAATATGTTATATTTCCTTTGCAATGTGTAAGTATACATCCTTTGCTTGCAGTGCTTGTTGTTGTGCAAGCATCTGGTGCTTATTAACACAGTGTGCTGAAAACAACCCTGCCCTCCTTGCACAGTGCTACCTAATCGGAACAGCGCTGGTTAGCATAGACCTACCTCTTTTGATTAAGAAGAAAATACCATGAAAAAAACTTTAAACCAACTTGCAAAATTGTCATTAAAATATATTCAAGCAGGGACAAAATCTATTCATCCTCCTTTTTGCCATGATGAGTGATAGTGAAAAAAAGAAAGTCCTTTTTTGTTTTTATTTTTTATTTCCTTGTTTAAAAAATCCAGTACAATGAGTGGGGAGCAGCTTTTAACAAAGCTACAATCAAATTAAACTCCACTCTGACTTCCATCCATGTGCTTACATGTTATGTACGCAGCTTCAAAGTAGTTCCTCTCAGGACTTCACTTTTCACACTGACCCTTCTTTCAAAAGAAACATGGTTTGCTGTTTTGCTCATAAGACTGCATAGGTCACTTCTTTGACTTCAGTCAAAGTCACTGGTGTGAACTGTATAGCAAACCTGTGTACATTTAAATATCACTCTTCCATGCAAATGTCATGTAATCTATTGTAAACATTAGCCTGTACTCTTAGTTGCTAAGGCATGCAAAGTAAAAACTCCTTGGTTAACCAAGCTGTATGTGGGATGGTGTTTTTTCAGAGGGTGTGTTTTACAGAATAGTGACTTAGTATTCAGTGAGGGTGCTAGTGTGAGATAATTACTGCAATAGCAACTTCTTAGCGACACTGACTGGAACCATTACTTAAAAAGAAACCTCGGAGTAATTGTGTTAAAGACTATGATTAAAAGTCAATGGAGACCAAGCCTGTTTTGATTTTAAAAACGTTGCGTGATATCACAAGGGCTGGATTGCACCCAGAGTGTATGTGGCTGTGAAGAAGCATAGAGGTTGGTCCCTCACCCTAGTTTCATGCCTTGTGTAAGTGTTGGACATAGATGTTCCACTGGTGAGCTGCACCTCAGAACCTCCTTCCTCCAAGGAGCAGGGAGGAGAAGTGAAACTATGGATCCACCTTCTCTCTGCATTGGCAGACAAATGTGGTGGCAAGGCAGGGAAGGTGTCTGAAGCGAAATCGTGCCTGCCGTGTCAGATGTCATTTAGAATGGATCTCAGTGCACAACTGGAGAGGCCCACAGAATATTTAATAAGTGATGCAGTACCTTCCGTTGCATTTCCTCCAGGGCCCTGAAGGGGCAGAGGGAGACAGGAGCTCTTCTCACTGGGGTTGTGCACTGTGGCAGAATCCCTTACTTTTGGTTGCACACCAAAGCATAGTTTAGGGACATGTTTCATATTTGCTGTTACCGTCAATGGGAGTCAGTAAGGTCCAGTAATGTTCCTATCAAACATGTTTCTGACCATGGGCACTTTTATGATGCCAGAAAGCTTGTCCAAAAGCTCTCCCATCTGTGCAGCTAGTCCAATAAAAGGTATCACAGAGAAGCCTTGTCTCGCTTTAAAAATATTTTTTTATGTTTGCATATTTTATTGTTGTCAGTTTCCAGGTACAGAAATGGGTATGTGCAGGATAGTTATAGTCAGTCATTTGTAGAGAAAGATACTGTCCTTAGCCCATGCAGATGAATATATAAAAATGGTTCATTTTATATAGAAAAATAGAAAATCAAATGTTATGGTCTAGTATACGTATAGCAAAGATGGTGAAAGAATAGTTTCATGTATAGATTATCTTGGATCAGAATCACTTGCAATAGCTTTAACAATCAACTTAGCACAAAGAAATGTAGAATTAGAGGGTAAAAAATTACCATCTCATTGGATGCAAGCTTGCATTTCCTTGATCTTTGTCTTTTGTCAGGGGAGTTTATTTAGCCTTAACAGCACTTGCACTGAGGCTGACAATTTTGACAAGGCTAACATCACTGGGGAAATAGAGTTTGCCATCAAATATATCTTCAAAACCTGCACTTTAGAAGTCTGCATCAATGCTTGCAAGAATCTGGCTTATGGAGAGGAGAAGAAAAAAAAGTGTAACCCGTAAGTATTTTTGGTTTCAAAAGACAGGGAAAAAAACAAGGCAAATAAAAATAAAAGTGTATGAGCTTAAAGTGTCACAGAGTAATATCCAGCTGCCATTTTGTATACAGGACAAATGTATGTATTGGCCAACAATGCCTGCAAAAAATGTGCACACCCATGCTAAGTGGTTACAACATGAAGCAGAAAGTTGAGAGATCTCTTACAGTTTCTAGTCATCTTGTGACTCACTGTGTGACACTGGTGAGTTATTTAACACTTCTGTGCTTCATCTTTCCTATCATTAACATGGGGAATACTTCCAGATTTTGCAAGATGTTTTGATATATAAAGGCAGGTAACTTCAAACTATAGTAATATGTTATTAGACATACAAAGAATACCCATTTTCTACAGATGAAAGATGTAAGCATACTTTTTTTTTCAGGCTTGCAACATTTAGATGATGTCTTGCCTGTTTGTTAATTTGTTTATGAATGATTCTCTCAGCCTTTCCATGGAAGCAATCATTCATGGAAAATTGCTAGTCGGAGTATCCAGCCATATGTTTAATGCTTGACCTTGCTATCATGCACTATGTGAATGAGTCTGAATCAGCATTCTAAAATTCCAGAGTTCAGCTCAGATCCTACCAGGAAGAATTTGCTGCAACATCTCTTGCAGAGAAGGGGACTAAAATGAGTTGTCTGACAAAAACCAAAAAGCCTGGCTGGGATGCCAGGTAATGAAATTATGTGGTTAGGGAATGTTTAATAAGTGCTGAATACTCCTGAAGTTTCCTAGCTGTGTAGACAGTATGCAAATCACAAGAAGCCTAGGGAGTTGTGTGGAAAGATTTATGTAATGAACATAACACTCCATATTGGCTAGACTGAGTGCTCTTTCTGCAGAAAAAGGGTATGAGCACTGGTTGCAGTTAGGACACAGGCAACAAAACTTGGCTGGTGAGAAGTTTATAACAGGCTTTCAGTCCTGCTAGAAATCTGAGCTGTACGTGGGTTGGTTTCCTTGATAAATGTATTACTTCATGTTTATTCAGTAGGAAGCTTAAGCTTTTAAACACACACACAGGTACGGTAGTGGTTTTTACAGTTCAAAGGGGCTTGAGAAGCATGGGAAAGGAATGCAAGGTCTACGTTGCTGCTGAGAGAGATGACTGATCTACAGCTCAGAGGCTGATTAAACAGAGTTATTCTATAATGAATTGAATACAACATGCTGTCATGTTAAAAGATGGTTCTGGTAGCATTTGGGAATCTAGAATGCCATTAATCATCTTTCGAGTAAATCTAATATCTTTTATTAGACCAACTCAGATTTGGGAGTGAGGAGCACTAGCAAGGCTGGGGGGTGGGAAAGAGGCTGCAGGTTGGGAGTGAGGGGCACCAGTGGGGAGCAGGGAGCTGTGGGTTAGGAGTGAGCAGCATCAGCCAGCTGGGCTGGGGGGTGGGAAAGTGGCTCTGGGCCGGAAGTGAAGCCAGGGGAGCAGGCAGCATATCAC